GCCCTGTATCCTTCCTACATCCTTCCTCGAGTCCCCCCACCTCCAAAAATCCTGCACCCTTTCGACTCCCTTCGGCCGTGCTGTGTTTTATATAATAAATGAGCTGGGTGGGTTAAAGGCGTATTTCTGTCTAGTAAATTAGCAAAATACACGCAGAGACAAAGCACACACACGTGTGTGCCTGCCAACTGAGTGTTGTGCGAGTGTGAGTGTTGCCACACCTCCTTTTTTGGGCTGAAAATCCCCGAAGGAGTGGGGGGACTAATGGGTTGCCGTGTGCTCTGATTGAGTTTGGCACAAATTGCTACTCAACCGAAACCATCAACCCCCAACTCCCCATACTCTATGCTATATATACATATATCCTTTTGTATCCGGGGTTAATGTATATGTGTAAGGGACAGAGAGTATCCCCAGTTGTCGCCTTGTTAAGTTTAAATAATGCTTTTTGCCATTTCCTCTGTGCCAAGGTCATTCAAAATTCAAACCAAGTTTGCATATTTTGCAGCTTTGGCATTTTGGGGTCGCTGGGAGTCGGAAATATTTCCAACATTGTCTGCGCATTTCTGCCGCATCATAACTTGAACTTAAATGAACTGACTTCATTGAGAGGCACTTTCAGCCTGTAGTTGCAACTCCACCTCCGGCACCCACACAGTCGCAGTCGGAGTCGCAGTCACACCTACACCACACCCACACCTCCGCTGGCACACAGACAGTGGAACAGTTGTCGCACATGCAATTTATGGCAAATTCCAGGTCTCAATTGGTTCCGAAAATGGAAATTGAAGTGAGATGGAGAAGGGAAATAGAGCGAGAGAGAAATCAGAGTTGGGGGAAATGAATTCCATGCCCAGCCTTGAAGGAAAATTTAAATCGTTTAACAAAAACTAAATACCAAAAAGCCAAGAATTTCACTTTGGATGACTGTTAGGTAGGTGACGAAGGCTTAGGACTACTATATAGACAATCTATATAGATATATAGACAGGATTTTATATATAGGATTTTTTTAAAAAAGATATTTCAAATTTTAAAGAGGCTAGGAAAAAATCATTTTTTTAAATTTCCAAAACCATTAAAATCTCCTCAAAAAAAACCCAGCCAACCCTCACGCCCTTCAACCATTTTTGAAAATTAATAAATCAAGATGGTTGACCGACGATTAAACGGTAACTAGTTCAGGCCAAAACCCATAACGGAACTCTCTAAACTGAGTCACTAACTGTCGGTGGAAAAAAAAACAAGAAAACCGCCAACGACGTGCCGAAATTGCCGCTTTTGTCTTATGAATTTAGATTGGATCGGTAGGTAGACCGCGGTGTGTACCGCTTCTGACCATGAAGACGAAACCATGTAAAAAGTTAATCACTTACCGCTGTCAGGTTCGCTTAGTCAATATTTTGCCGGGGCAAGCTTTTCATCTGGACCGCTCTCTGAACCGCTGGCTGGGAACGCGAAAGATTCTTATCGCCTCGACCGCAATGGACAGGGCAAATTCATGGCATAGAGTGAACAACACGAATCATAGTCACATCATGTACCAGCTAGACAGCCAAACAAGATATAGACAAAAAAAAAATATACATTGTACTTGGGGTTCAGGTTCAGGGTTTGCAGAGGGGAATATCACAGAAGCTATCGTTGGCGCTACGATAACAAAAGGCGACCTTACCGACACATCGTTCATTTTAATTTGCACAATAACTCACATCCCAACCAAAGCTAACTCGTTTTTTTGTTCGTTTTGCAAAATGAAAAAATAATTACCCATGTTGAAGAGGCTACAAAAAAAGAAAAAAAAAACGACCAAAACTCAAAAGGTTAATTTAAATTTCAAGTCACACAAGAGACCAGAAGCAACATGAGTTGCTGTGGCACTTCTCCTGCTCCTCAATGCTCCCCTTGGTCACCACATGAGATAGTGTCACGAAATAAATATCTTACAGGTTACTTCGTCGTCCCAGCTCTCCATCTTTCGCTTGCAATTCATCAAAATGCAAAACTCGTTGGCCAAAAAGGACGACAGCTCACAAAATATGAAATAAACACTTGGGATTCGCCGGTTAGTTGAAGTTGAACATATGAAAGAGCTATAAACGATAAAAGACTTCATAAGACTGGGGAGTTGGTTCCACTTGAAAATCAAGATCATCCCCTGAGATGATGATTATTGTTTATTAAGTGTCGGCTCTGTCATAAAATTAACAGGAACTTTTCTTTTTATTGCCTTACGTTTTGGCTTGTTGGATTTTTTTTTCCATTTTGTATGAGTTTTTTATGATCTTATAATGACTGTGTGTGGTCTCGGAGTGTGTCTTCAGTTTTTAACAGACCTACATAGGTTGGTCTTTTTTCTACAAATTATTTAAAAGACTTAACAAAGCTTGAAGAATTTCCTAATAATTTGTATTAACTATTAATAGTGTAATATTTGAAATAGTCAATTTTAGAAAAAATAATAACCAAATTACCTCTTTATTTTAAATTAAACGAATTATATTTCTTCGTATAATTTCTTCTTTATTTATTTTTCCCGGCATTATAAGCCTTGCCATATTATTACAAAAAAAGGACATTGGTGGGCTACAAAAGGACATTTTTTTAACTCCACTCTAAATATCCTTTAGAATATCCCCATTTCTCAGAAAAAACATTTTCAGAAAAAGCTCTCTGAAGGACATAAATGTCCTGAGCTTTGAAAAAATGTGAAATTGCAAAAATTCCTTTAGGAAAAAAGCTCTTTTTCACAAAAATCCCCAACGCAGTGTCCTGAATTCCCAAGTCCTTCAAAATATCCCTAGTATCCTTTAACCAAGACAAAAACCATTAGAATATCCTTGCCGTAAACTTTCAATGACCATCAGTTCCGCCGCCAGCCGTCAGATGGCGGTACAAAACATCACTAATATTATATTTAACGCAAAATTTGCACACTTATCCCCCTCACTAAACCGACAAACTCTCACTATTTATTTTTAGCGACAAGTGCAGAATTTGATTTTAGGGATTCCACTGCGAAGCATTCAAATGCCGTTCATTAAAAGTGTCCACCGTGTTGTCTGCATAAATCAAACGAACGCACTCCAATTCGGGGATTGCTGGGCCACCCACGAATAGCACACGAACAGAATTATTAAAGGCCAAGCAGCAATCAATCGATCGATCGCTGGATCGAGTTCAACCAATTAATTAAGTATTTCACTCACAAACGGCGGCTTAAACGGCCAAAAACTATTTTCGTTGTTTAATTTTACGATTTTCTGGTTTGGGGGATGGCTTTTTACGGTTTTTTTACGACTCTCGGCCATAAATGACAAAAATATTTATGGATGTTTTCTGATATTCGTTGACTTGGCTGTCTGATCTGTCACTCACGTGTCAGGGTTCCGCACCTCGTTCCTTCCCATAAATTCCCTCACCAATCTGAAGGCCCCCCCTGCCTTCACAGTCCGACTTTCAACAATTACGCAGCGAGCACGAAAATATTTTCGCGATCAAAACAAACAACGCAAATAGCGCAAAAATTATGCATATGAATTTGGATACTGTTACGCCTAGGTGGTCTCCAGTACCCCGCCATCCAATCCCCATGAGACTCATAAAAACGCTTTTGAATTCCAAGGGTTTGCCAGCCTTATCATAAAGGGGCTACGTGCGGTGGAGCTGGTCCGCAAAAATAAATCGAAACACGAAGTAATTTGCGAAAAAATTCCATCGAGTCTTGGTTGCCAAATTATTAGAAGGGGGGATCACCGAGTATTAACTTTCTTTTACCAGTTTGAAGTAGTTCACTTCTGCATAAATCATGCTACAAAGTAAGCAATCATCATATTCGATCTAATCGCCATAAAATCTTGGCTTGAAATCCTTATACCTTTACTTCTTTTTTTTCCTGTCCCTGGCAATTAACAATCAGCGAAGTAGAAGGCAACCAAATCGAAGCTTGCCCATTGTTGGCACCGCAACCTTCTAAACCAGGTGCATACATGTGTCACTCCTTCTGTCTGTCGCTTTCATAAGGTACCCCCGTCCTTCCTCCTCCCTCTGGTAAACAAAAACACTTCGCACTTTCAGTGTCTTTGAATTTTGTCCAAGCAATTGCATTGAAATCGCATTATTAACGCCTGCAAGGAGTGACTTGCACTCCAAGTCCAAGTCGTTGCGGCCTCCATTCAATTCACTTACCAAATTGGCAGCAACCAGGCCTGGGCCCGGCTCACGGGTGTGAAAATAATCTGTTTAACGAGGGAGTTTTACAAAAGACCCGAGTTGCCGAGACCCGAAGATGCCACAAAAAGCCCACAAAAGGGGCAACAACAAACGAGCAACAATAATGACATTTGGCGCAAATGAATGAGAAGCCCCAGACTCAAATTTCCCCGTCGCCCCTGCCTCTCACTCGTTTACCGCAAAAGGATATGACAGCAGTCCCAGACGGAGATCGGATGCGATTCACGGGCCTTGGAATCAGAGCCTGGAACCCAAACTGAAGCCAAAACTGAACCTGACAGTCTGGCACTTTGGTCTTTGGACTTTTGGTTCTGAGCTTCCTCCAGCTTCCTTGTTATTCTGTTAGTGATCGTTTTGCTGTCGTTCCGATCGTTGTTTTTTGGTTCCTGCTTCAGGTTTAGGTTCCTTATTCGCGCCGGACGCTGACATTAAAAGGTGGGAAAATGTCAAAAGTTGGCCAGGAAACAGAAGAACCTTTTGTTTTTCGGCTGCCTACTGTGGGATCGATTTTTTCCTAGGTTTTATTGCTATTTTTGGTAACTTGGGTTCGTTATCGCTTCAAAATGAGTCATTTATCCTCCAAAAACATGCAAAAATAAACAAAAATCATACCGCAATAAAAATTCCCAACGAATTCCCAAATTTTATAAGCGCGCTTTGTCCGCCAGACCACAGATGGCGCCAGCCAGAGGCGTTAATTTCCCTCGAACTTGTAGTGTTGGTTGTACAATATTTATAATATTTTTCTTCTGTTTCTTTATTTTCAGTGCAATTTTGGATTAACCCAGGTGTAAATGGATTACAAAATTGGATTACTTACATGGATTACCACAATTTAGCAGCACATCGAATAAGGTAATGGACCAAATTGAATCAATTTTCGTTACACAAATGTTTAACCCATGACACGGGTGCGCTCACTATTAATCCTAAGTGCTTCCTGTGATTTTATGCAAATCGAACATATCGCCGGGCCGGGCAGCACAGAGCCCGAAGAAGGAGAATACACACTAAGGAGACCGCGATTCAATGTACAAATGACAGTTGGCTGTGACATAAAACAGCGACTTAAAGAAGATGTTAAGCGTTCTGCAGTTGCATGCCAACATCTGCCGGGCCAACAACAACAATTTTCCTTGCCGGACAAAAGACATTTTCATTTATTCATTGATAATGCTTTAAGAACTAAAACGAGCAACGACAAAGGCCAGCCAAAAGAAGCTCCAGGAGGGTTGGGGGAGCCAGTGCGAAGCGCAGAAACATGCGACAAAACAACATAATTTAAATTTTGCGCATGCATCAGGTTCTTTCCCCCGCCAGACACAAAAAAAATGCCCGAGCAACATGTTGCAGCAACACGCCAAGTTGGCCAGCAACAAGCTCTGCCAGCCGACTCCTTCCTTCGGTTCTTGGCTCGTAATCCGGTAGCAGTGGCTTTTTGCCGCTGCCTCGATTTGCTTTGAATGAAAATGAAATTATCGCATTATTAACTATGAGGAAGGATGCTGGCCTGGCCAAGCGAAGCTGCAGACAGGGCCCTAACAAGCTGGTCTAAAAGGCCCGGGTTCTCCCGAACTCCCCATTTTGTGGGTCTGGCCGACTGCATACTTAACAATAAAATGAATTGTTAATTCCCTTGCACTTTTTCCGCCGACGTTCCTCCTTCTTAGTTTTTTTTTTTTCCTGGATCTGGCCGGGTGTAGGTTCTTCCCAAAAACAAAATCCTGGACTGCCTTTGGCCGTTGTAATGCTCAAGTGCCTTCATTTTATCTGCGGCACAATCTTTCATTTGTTTGGAGCGTGATGGGCGAGGCACAGTGGGCGTGGTAATAAAAATATTATACAAGATACTTGAAAAAAAAAATTATATTATAAGCAAGAGAATTATTGTATTATAAAGTGCTTAAGTTAATTTTTATTTATATAATTTTAATATATTTCAAAGACCTCTATCAACTCCACTGTTTGGAAGTTCTTAGATGGCCCTGCTTTAGGCCAAATACCAAACTTGTTTTCTTTTTTTTTTTTTGTTCGCCGACCAAAGTAGCCAACCGAACAATTGTTTGCGCGCCAATTGTCTCTGTCCCGAGGTCCCACTGTCCCGCCAAGGCTGGGTCCCACAATGGTACGGACCCCAGGTCTTTCGAGGCCTTACCAAATGTCTTCTTCCACAGAATTTGAAACGGAAACATCGAACACTTTGTTTTGGTTCTTGTTTCACATTTTACTTGTTTTGTTTTTTTTTTTTGCATGTGATTTTTACCAGTTTTTTTATTAAAGTTTTTTTTTCTTTATTTTTTTTAAACTGAGTTTGGAACAAAGTTTGTAAGCGCGCGCATGCGTAAGTCTCTCAGGTTGGTTCAGTCACGCAATGGGATCTGGAGTCTGGGTACTCGGCGGATTGGGAAACAGAACCGAACGCAGCACGTAACTGCAGCGACTTTAGTCAAAATTAACAAGCCTCAAAACACAACTTCCAGCGCATGCAAATTCGTTGTCAAAATAAAATAAAACCAACCAGAAATCGAAGCTACAGAGCGAGAAAAGTTAGTCCTCCTTGAAAGACCCAAGAAAAAGATCTTAGTATCCCAACAATTAAAAGTTTCTTTCACTGCATCCTGGGGATGTGGTCAAGAGGGGCAGGCACCTCCAGTTAAGCGATAAATGAGTTACTGACGTCCGAGCATGTGCATGTCCAGTATCAGCCTCCATTCGAGGCCTCCATTCCTACCCGGTCTCTTGCTTGCTCCGGGCCAAGACGGCAAACTAACCTGGCCGAGCAGGTGCTACATCGGAGGAGAGACCTCGGGAGTCCCTCCTGTGCCACGGATACCTGTGCCCCACCATTAACCCACTGAGCCCCCGCCGCAGCAACATTTCAACAGCCTTCAAAAGCCATTTCCAGACAGTCTCATATGTAAATTTATGCACTAACCACTAACCACTCTCTCAAGGTGAAGTGGGCGGGTGGGATGTGGATGGTGGGAGGTGGGGGCGTCACCTCGGGGCAGCACAACACGTAGTCGTCGTAGAAGAAGAGGCCGTGGCGAAGGCGAACAAAAATTGATATATGCCCGGGTTATGGTAAAAATCAACTAATTGATCTGCGGCTAACATGATTTTTATCTTTTGAGAACTTAATTATTTTCTGTTTCGGTTTCGCACAGCCGTGTCGGTGCGAGTCGGGACTTCCAATTTGAAATCGATATGGAGCCAATATACATATACATATGGACAATTCGATATCTTAACCAACTGACAGGGGACAGAAACAGAAACAGAAACTGAGATACTGGAGCGGATGCGTTGGAATGCGAAGGTCTTCTCGGGTATGGAGCTTGATTTGAGTGGTTTCTGAGTTTTGGGAGCTTTGATTGGGTTTGTTTTTGTCGGGATTGGAAGGTTCTTGAGGTTGGATTTATTTCTTAAAATATTTTAAATAGATTTCCAGCATTTCTCTCAGTGTTGCGAAAAATAAATGAATCGTTAACCTAGCCCCATTACGATTGGCTGGCCAAAAGCGATTGCCTTGAAGGGGGTCAAACGTGCGAATGGGCCCAGACCAAAAAACCAAAAACCACCAGCAACCACGTCTAATTCTTGTCGACTGCCTTTAACGATCGAAAGTTGTATGTTATGTTCCACAAATACGGAGACTGAGCCAGAGACTTTATGCTAATACCCCACGAAGCAGTATTGATCATTATGCAAGTCAGATCGGGACAGCTATCGGTATTATTCGATTTCATTTTGATTAAAAAATATAAAGACAGGGGTCTTTTTAAAGGCCTTATCTCAAACATATTTGTTAACTTGGTCAGAACTCAGCTCGCGTCCTTTTATTTCCGTCCAGAGAGCGAGAGGAGTTTAAAATTTGGCGCCAAACGGAGGAACAGCTGTTGCGGCTCTTAAGAGAAAATCTAGATAAAAGAGTGTCAGAGGTGCTCTCTCTTAAATCAATTGTTGTTGCCAGGGTGGGCGCAGCATCCGCGGCTCGCAGTCTTCACTCTTCATTTTGAACTCCATAATGGTTGATTCTGAAAGTACCGTCGGCAAATCATGGCCGCCTTTGCTGTTATAATTCTCTCTATTGTTGTTGTGTTCTATGTGTGTGTGTGTGTTTTTGGTTATTTGTGTGTTTGGCGAATTTTGAATCCCGCGGCCATTTCTAATCCTTTCTAATAAAAATTATATCGTTCTAAAAAATATTGTTCGTTTTCATTATAACAAATTAATATTGGTTTTTAGTGTTTCTTGTTTTGAGTTTGAAAGATATTACCTTGAAATCCTTAAAAAAATGTGTGTGTGTGTTGCATGTATAAATCCCGGGCTCATTTCTAATACTTTCTAATTAAAAAAATATTTATACATCTCTATTTTATATTAGAAAATGTAATATTGATTTTTAGTGTTCTTAATTATTTAATTTGATAGATATTACCTTTAAATCCTTTCCTTAAAATCCCTTGAAAATGTTAAACTTCATGAAGATACATTTACCGACGGCAATGACATGGTTAGATACAATGTGTATCTTTTAATCTGTGCTTTATTTAATTTTATTATTAGATGTGGCTGCTTTATGAAATGGTATCTTTTGTAAAATATTTCATAATAATATCACAAAGAAAATAAAGATTAAATTTTTAATGTTTGTGTTAGAAATGTATAACTAAATTACCTTTAAAAGACTATGTTTTTTTTTCAAGTTTCTAGTAGGGTTTTCAACTTATTTTTTGATTTCTGAATAAAATTAGCTTAGTAACCTTTATTCTTAATCCCTCTTTATATTCTTTGTTCAATCAGTTTCATTAAGCAGCCTTTCATTTGGCTTTCAATCGATTCTCACATCAATTTAATGCACACCCTTGGGCGCCAATAAACACCCAAGTTCACGTCGCCCGTCCCGTTCTGGTTCCCCCAATTGCCAAATATTGTTCTTGCGCTTCTTTAATTCAACTTTAGCTGGCTTTGGTTTTCATTGCTGTCTTCTGTGTTTTTTTTTTAGTTTTTTTTTTGGATGGAATTGGCACTTAAGTTACTCAAGTGGAAAAAAGTTTTTGTTTTTCGTTTACTCGATATAACTATACAAAAACAAAGACAAAAACAAACACGCACTCGGGGCACCAACAAACAAACACATGCTGTACTTTTGGGGGGCATGGAGTCCTCCATAGCTCCCCGTCCTTTTTCGTTCTTCGTTCCATCTCGTTCTTTGGCCTGTCAGCTGGATTTCTTCACGGGGGTTACTTTGGCCCCCCAATTGCCTCCACCCGGCAGTCCGGGCTATTTTGCCTGCAAAAGTTTGCCATCTCTTGTTGTTCAATTTTTTCCTCCGGGTTTATCCAATTCAATTGAAGGCTGACAGCGGCAAAAATTTTCATTATGAAATTGGATCGTTGTCAATGTGGTGAGCGCAACTGTGCTGAGAAGGGGGTGCCTGCCGACTAGATCTACCCGGGAGATACTTCTTGGACCTTGGGTCATTATGGTTATTGCCCTGGTAGTGCTAGCCGGGTAGTCTGCAAATTGCCACACCGTTTGTTAGCACCTGTTTAGGCCTACAACTTTTTTATGGCCTTTTTTTTCCAGCGGGCGTTTTTGTATCTATTACCTGTTTATCGCTGCATCTTTACAAATCGCTGTTCACCTTGAAGACGGTTCGAAAGTAAAGTGAAAAGGCTAGAAAACAGAAATACCAAAATTCCGCTGTGAATCGCCTCCTTCTTCGGCTTCAGTTCATAAATTAGAGTTGTCTTGCCGCCCCTCTTGAGAGCGAGGGGGTTTTTGGGGTTTGTTGGCCAGTGATGTGATAATTGCGGCTTGGCTCGGCTTGGCTTACTTTGTTCGCCATT